ACATGCGAACCCTCCCCCTGCCCCCCACGATTTCTGAGGGGGAGGGTGGGGTTCACTTCGTTCGGGAGCTCCCGAGCGAAGTGAACCCCACCCTCCCCCTCAGAAATCGTGGGGGGCAGGGGTAGGGTTCGCATGTGGCCCCCTATCCCGGGGACGGTGCCTGGAGGCCCGGGCCGCCCATGGCGACGCGAGGCAGCTGGCTCTGGGCCCCTCTGGCACGGCTCCCGGAAGGCCGGGCCGGCCATGGCGACGCGGGGCACCTGGCAGGGCCCCCCGCCCCTGTATCCTGGGGTACACATATATATATATATATACATGCATACATACACATATGCACATACACATACACATACACGTACACATACACATACACATGCACATGCACATGCACATGCACATGCACATACATCTACATCTACATCTACATCTACATATACATATACACCTACATCTACATCTACATCTACATCTACATCTGCAGCTACATCTACATCTACATCTACATCTACATCTACGTCTACATCTACATCTACGTCTACATCTACGTCTACGTATGTATATGTATATGTCTCTGCCTATGTCTCTCTATATGTATATGTAAATGTATATGCATCCGTATATATATGTATATGCAGATGTATATGTGTATGTAATTGTATGTATATGTGTATATGTCTACGTATACGTATACGTATATGTATGTGTACATGTATATGTATAAGTATGTGTATATGCGTGTCTGAATATACATGTATATATATATACATGTATGTGAATGTATGTGTGTGTGCGTGCGGGTGTGTATGTGGGTGTTTGTGTGTGCGTGTGCGTGTGTGTGTGTGTGTGTGTGTTTGTGCTTGTGTGCGTGCGTGCGTGCGTGTGCGCGTGCGCGTGCGCGTGCGCGTGCGCGTGCGCGTGCGCGTGCGCGTGTGCGTGTGCGTGTGTGTGTGTGCATGTGTGTGCATGTGTGTACATTTATGTGTATATATATATATACACACACAAATGCCAGAACCACGCGGGCGCGTTTCGCGCGCGCTTAGGTTGCAGACCCTCCAATTCCGCCGACATGGACAGCGAATGAAGTTTATGCTGACAACCTCGTATGTTGCATGGGCGAAGTTGATACCGAGCACGACGCCTAGGAGAACAGCTCTGATGTTTTAACACTCGGATCCGAAAGATGCGCTCTGAAACTGCGGTGGAGGGCGAAACGAGATGAGACAGAGAAGACGGCAGGCGGAAACGACAGATCACAAGAAGTAGCTTGAAAGCTGGGGCTGCGGTAGCTGCCAGCAAACCGACAAGACTGTGCCAAAATCCATCGTACTGAACCTCCAGCCTTTGCTCGACCTCCTACAAATGAGCTTCGAAACGTCCCGCGTGAGGGAGCCATCCAAAACGGCGTGGCTCAGCCTCCTGCGAGGCCTCGCAGGCGTGTGAGCGCCATCACTGCCATGCTCTGCACAAAGCGTTCTGCCACGCAGGGCGGTTACAGAAGAAAGTCCGACTGCAAAACGACCTAAATTGAAGATATGAGGGTGCTCATCTTGAGAGTGCCACATTGCTGGACTAAGCCCGCATGATCAGCACGAAATTGGCCAGCGAATCTGCGGGCGCATTCGGAGATCCTGCAGCCTGGTGCATGGCGTGGGAAAAAGACCGTGCCCGAGTCCTCGGAGCCGTCGGTTTCGAGGCCAGCGCGCTTGATGCTGCAAGCGCGACAAAAGCTAGTGCTCGGGCCAGGGTGAAATGTGTGCAAAACCGCCGCCGTGCCCTGGACGCAATTAGGGGCGCAGATGCGAACCCTACCCCTACCCCCCACGATTTCTGAGAGGGAGGGTGGGGTTCACTTCGTTCGGGAGCTCCCGAGCAAAGTTCACCCCACCCTCCCCCTCAGAAATCGTGGGGGGCAGGGGTAGGGTTCGCATCTGGCCCCCTAGCAATGGTCGAGTGTCCTCAGCTTCGTAACAGTCTTCGTTGGTCATCTCGACGCTACAAACTGAGCCCTCGAAGCAACAACGATAAGAGATTCCTGGATCCCAGACTGCCGGGATTCCTGGATCCTTTCTGATGCTCCTGATGTTATCTGCAGCCCGCACCCGAAGCCCCAGGCGCGTTCTTGCGGGACCCACACTTCCTCTGCGGCCTCGTGGCTGTCCTTGGGCGCGATGTCTCTCCCGAGCTCTCCCGACTGAGCCTCGGTTGGACCATGTTGGAGTCGCCTCGGCAGGGCATCGCTCCGCTTTGGATGCCTCTTGGAGCGTGCCTGGGCTTGGGGGATCCTCTCAGGACCACCTCGGGCCGTCTTGGGGGGGCTCTCTGGAGCACTCCCGAAGCCATCCTGAGCGGACAAGTTGCGGAAGCCAGGCATACTGAAACATCACCATGGCCCCACTGGAGGCTTCCCGACAGGGCTCGCAAGCTGTCGCAGACGGGCGGCGCGCAGAAGGCACGTGAAGTAATCCTGCTCCAAAAAACCGGGCGCCACAGTCCTCGTCGATCTTCGAAGGCCCTAAATGGGACGCACAAAGACATACTAGTACTATGTGTTCTCCTTGGAGGCGCGCGTCCGACCCAAACATCTAGTGTACCCATCTTGTAGTATATCGTTTGCCGGGCGGTGCGGGCAGAAAGCGCCCGCCACGACGTATGTACTACAAGATTCCTCGGTGCGCGCATCGCCCCCCGGGGGAGCGACGCACATATACTATAAGGGGTGACTTGGGAGTGCTGACGTGATGAGAATCCCATGGCCCTGTCACAATTTCGTGAGTTGGGAAAACTGAAATGGTGAGAATCCCATGGCCCTGCCACATGCTCGTGACTTGGAAAGGCAGAGAAGGTGAGAATCCCATGGCCCTGCAACACGTTCGTGACTTGACTTGGAAAAGCTGGCATGGTGAGAATCCCCTGGCCCTTCCACGCGTTCGTGATGATGTCGTTTCTCGACATAAGAACATATCAACTTCGATTCGTAACTTTCCCCCGGGATGATGACGTTCGGCCTCACCGCCCCCCCGCATGTCAGAAATATAGAGAGCCGGAGCTGCTCAAAACCGGAGTGGGAAAGGGGGGGTATGATTTAGTATCCGGGGCATGCGGTTACTCACATCAGGGCCCCATTGGGTCCGCCGAGCCTCGAAGGACCTCTCGGGGGCCTCCTGAGGCCCCTTGGGGAGCCGTCGGGAAGGGAGCCTCTGGGAGGGCCTCTGGAAATCTCTTGCGATCCTCTCTGGAGCCCGCGGTGACTTCTTGAGAGCGCCTTGGAAGCCTCCAGGAGGATTTTGGGTGCACGTTGGCAGCCGCACCCCCGAGACAGTTCCCCAAGATCCCTCTCTGTTCCCACGGGGCCCTGTTGGGTCCCTCTTGGGCGCCTCTTGGACTGTCTTGGGCTCACTTGGGCAGTCTAGGAGCCTTGTGGCGTTCCTTGGGTCATCGTAAGGCTATATATTGGAGGTCACTGGGGCCGTGGTGGGCAATCGGAGGCCCGAAAACGAGAGAGCACTAAAGTCGGTCAAAAGCCGTAGGGGATACTACTATGCGGCTCTCGTTGGGGCCTCGTTGAGGGCCTTCTTGGAGCACTTCGGAGCCGCCTCTCCCCCCTCGGAAGACTTGGCAGACCTGGCTCTGAGTACGCCGCAATGAGCGTCTCTTCGTCCAAGCGCCTGATGACTGTGGGGGCACTGGGAGACATGGCGGCGGCAGAACAACGCTGCCATTGGACACCAGAGCACTGCAGAGTGAGACGGCCGCGAAACGCTACGGCTGCTGTTCCTCCTCGAATTCCTCATCCTCCTAACCACCCCTCCTCCACCAACTATACTTGCATCAAGATTCGGAGTATGACTGTCCGAGGCGAGAGGCTACGTACGAGCCCTACGCATCGCTCTTCCTCATTTATTGAAGGGGAAAACGATGATTTAAAACACTATCGCACGTTGAGCGGAGACGTGGAAGGGTCAGCCAAACCTAGATCACGCGAAAACAATGACTAGCATGACCATCCTCAACGATTGCAGGCCTCGCACCAAATGAGGAAACGTAGTTGATCACGACAGCAACGAACCTACCTAGGCCACCATCATGGGTGACACTTGCGGTTGTATCTCCTCGCGCAGCTAATGGCAACCGGGTTTCGCACCTGCCCGTTGCACACGCCACTACCGAAACTGGGACTGTGATCCATGTCGAGATGCTCTTCGACCGGTCCGCTCACTGGAATCCCACCCAGCAGCTAAAGTAGCTATACGAGATGCGCGTGGCAGCTTTCTGGCCGACCCTCCCTGAAAAACACACTCCGAAATGGGTGTGGGAGGGAGTAAGATGGTTGAGGAGGGGTTCCAGAGGGGGGCGGGGGCGGTAATTGGATCGACAACAAGGTTTTGTTCGCAGCTTCCCCCACCCCTCCCCTTCCCCCCCTGGTCAAGGAGGAGTTGAAACACCCTGCTTTGGGAGTGGGGAGAGAAGGGGGGGGGAGGGCAGAGACCCCGCCAGGAAAACTCATCCTCCAACTGGGCCGAAGCTGGCAAACAAACGTGTGGTTTCCCCAAGACCCCACCCACGGCACGGTGGCGTAAAAGGGCTTCGGGGGGGCCCTCGGGACCCCCCCCTCCCTGCCAAGGCTCCCAGGAGAACTCCGCGCAGCGGGTCTCGAAGGCGTTAGGAATGCGTCTTGCATTTCCATGTTCGACCGACGCGATTGTCTTGTCATGTGCCAGCGTCATTTACACGGGACAGTGGTCCTGGCCTTCTTTACGTTATTTCAGGGACGCGGGAAAACCCGCGCGAAAATTGCGACAATCGCGGGACAGCCACGTCGGGCCACCGCGCAGTTGGGGCATACATCCAACTGCGCCGACACATCGTTGCCTGTGCGCGCGACGCGAAGGGAAACAAAACCGATTTCCTGGTTGGGGTAACTTCGATTTCACTCCCCCGTAGAATCGCGCGCGCCTGATGCGCGCGCTGAGGAAAACAACATGTGCTACGACAGGAATCCTAGCATGGCTGAGTTTCATATTTGTTCAACATCATCCGCCACCGTGCCCCCTGGCACGGTGAGGCGTGCTAAACAGCCAAGTGCAGCCTGGCATGATTGTTGTACTTTTCTAATGGACCCCCCCGTCCGGGCTGCACCCGCACCAGCCATGCTCCCCTCCTGGGGAGTCCCTGGGCGGCCATGGCGCCTCATTGGGGCTGGTCACTACCGGTTCGAACCACCCCCGCTCTTCGCCGCCAGCAAACGACTCAAAGGTCCCCACCACCGTCCTCACCACCACCGTCCTCACCACCGTCCCCACCACTGTCCCACTGTCCTCACTGTCCCCACCACTGTCCCCACTGTCCCCACCAGTGCCCCCACCAGTGTCTCACTGTCCCCACTGTCCCCGCCACTGTCCCCACCACGGTCCCACTCTCCCCAGTGTCCCCACTGTCCCCACAAGTCCCGCTGTCCCCACTGACCCCACCGCTGTCCCACTGTCCCCACTGTCCCTGCCGCTGTCCCACTGAGCTGTCCCACTGTGCCCACCACTGTCCCACTGTCCCCACTGTCCCCGCTGCACCACTGTCCCACCACTGTCCTCGCCACCGCTCTCACCAGTGTCCCCACTGTCCCACCGCTGGCCCACTGTGCTACCCCACTGTCCCCACTGTCCCCACCACTGTCCCACTGTCTCACTACACTCGCCACTGTACCACTGTCCCATTGTCCCACCGACGTCCTCACCACCGTCCCAACCGCTGTCCCCACCATTACCGTCCCCACCGCAGTCCCTCTGTCCCCACTGCCCCCACCACTGTCCCAGTCCCCGCACCAGTCCCCACCACTCAGGGGGACGTAAGACCTGGGTACAGGGGACTCGGAAATCCCCGACGATGTCGTCAAAAAATGACGAGGCCGAGCCTGCATTTTGACGAGGCCTCCCGCTGCAGACATCCCACAAAACTCCTCCTCGTCAAAATCCGAGGCGCGGTCGTCAAAAAACGATGGCGAACCCGAGTCCTGGCAAACCTGGGTCTTACGCTCCCCCGAACCACCACCGTCCCCACCATTGTCCCACTGTCCCCCACTGGCCCCGCCACTGTCCCACGATCCTACTCTTCCCACCACTGTCCCCACTGTCCCCACCACTACCCCTAACACTGTCGCAGTGTCCGCACTGTCCCCACCACTGTCCCCACCACGGTCCCACTTTCCCCAGTGTCCCCACCACTGTCCCAATGTCCCCTCTCCACCATCATCACCACCACCGTCCCAACCACTGTCCCCACCACAACCCCCCATCCGAAGTGGGGGAGGACGGGGAGTCGTTTGCCCGCGGCGAGGAGGAGGGGGGGGGGTCGAACCCGTAGTGACCCCTCTTTTCATGATGGACCAGGGGGGGTCGAACCGGCAGCGTCTCTGGTTTTCTGGACGGGGGGGGACGGGCTGGAACCCCCAAGTGACCCCCCTCGGGTTTTCTGCCAGCAACCGCAGAACACGCTCCTTGATATATGTATATGTGTATATATATACATATATACATATATATATATATATATATATATATATATATGTATGTATATATACATATAAACATATATGTATATGTATTTATATTTATATATGTATATCTATATGTAATAAAAACCACGCGCGCGCTACGCGCGCGTTTAGGTTCTGGTCGCAGATGAGCCACGGGTGCCGCTGCAAACCCCGCTGTGGCCACAACGACAATTTCCAGCGTTGTCGGGTCCATGTCATCGACGCAAAGAAACGCGCAGTCAAAACACAAGGCGCCACGTTCCCGCGTATCTCACAATCTCGCTGCCGCGTTCGCTTGGTTTATCGAACTGCGTTTTTTCTCCACTTCGGCTTCCGCTCCGCCCCGTCGTGACACTCAGTTATATTGCACATTTGTTGTCTCCTCATGCCAGATCGCACAGGCATCCGCCGGCTCCTGCTGTTGGGGTTGGTTCGGGGCCTCGTTGCGCGCGCGCGTGGGACCGCGTTGTTGTTTGCTCCTGTCCTTGTGCTCCAAATTTCTCGTTTTCAACGGTCGTTCAGCTGTCGGATATCTGCAGATGGCGCGCGCAAGTGTCCCGGTCATCGGTGCCCTTTCTGCAATCAGTTGTTGTCGAGTCCGTGCACGGGAGTGGGGAAGCTTCTTTGTGCTGGACGCCAAACCTCGTGCAGGCGATAATCGCACCCGTGGGATCAGAAGGTTCGGGCCCACGGGGGAGGCTCAATGATTTACTTGCCTGGCAAATCCCATGTATGGGGCTGCGAGGAGCTATGACGGGGCCTCTGGTGGAACTTTCTTGGCGCTCTGGCGATGCCTTTGAGGTGAGGGAAGGGCACGAAACCTGAGTAATTGCGCAGTCGTGCCACATCCCGCTCGCAGCGGCGGGTCAGCCCTGCAGGGGTGGGAGGAGCAAGAATCGCGTGAAATAGTATGGTGTAGGGGTGCCCTGCTCTCTCTGGTTGGGGTTTCCCTGGCGCTCTGGCGGGGTTTGCCCAAGAGGGGAGGGGGGAGCACGAAACCTTAGGAAAATTATGGTACAGTCACACCCCGTGCGCCCTGACGAGGCTATCTCGGGTGCGGTGGGATGAGCAAAACAGAACAAGGACTGTATATGGCATAGTGACACCCCTCTCGCTCTGCCAGGGCCGCCCTTGAGGGGTGGGAGGGGCAAAGCAACTTGTGAAATGATAGGGTACAGCGATGCCCCGCTCGCTCTGGCCGGGCCTGTCTGGCGCACTGGCGGGGCCGTCCCAGGAGAGGAGGGAGGAGCACGAAAGCTGAGGGGTGAGAGGAAGAACAGGAGAGAGGAGGGAATGGAGGCAAGGGGAAGGAGCGGGAGGGAAGGAGGGACCGAGGGGGGAGGCCTGGGCCATCTGGGCCGTCTTGGAGCGCCTTGGGGCCTCCCGCTCCCGTTCTGTGGCCCAGCTTGGGCCTGTCCTGGGGCTCTCTTGGGCCGTCAGGGGCTCCTCCTGGGCAATTTTCGGGCTCCCTGGGGCCGTCTTGGGGCTCTGTTGGGTGCCTCTTCGGCGGTCTTGGGACGGTCTTGAGGGCGACTTCGGCCGTCTTCGAGCATCGGAGGCTCGAGAACGCGAGAAAGCGAAAAACATAGAACAAACCAATTCAAATTAATAATTTGGGCATATGTGGGCTCTCTCGGGACGTCTCTCGGAGCTCTGTTGGCTGTGTGTTTGCCGTCTTGAGCTCCTCTGTGGCCACGTTGGAATCATCTGGGCCGTCCTGGAGCGCCTTGAGGCCTCCCGCTCCCGCTCTGGGGCCTATCTTGTGCCTCTCCTGGGATTCACTTGGGCAGTCTTGGGCTGCTCTTGGGCAATCTTCAGGCTCTCTGGGGTCGTCTTGGGGCTGTCTTTGGGATCTCTTCGGCGTTCTTGGGGTGATCTTCGGGACGTCGTCGACCATCTTGGAGCGTTGGAGGCTCGAGAACGCGAAAAAACGAAACGCATTGACCAAAAAATAAGCGGCAATCAAGGATGTGGGCCTCTCCGGGCTCCCTTTTGGAGGCCTCTCGGGCTGTGTATTATCTGGGGCGTCCTGGACCGAATTGGGGCCTCCCGCTCCCGCTCTGTGGCCCAGCTTGGGCCTGTCCTGCAGCTCATGGGCCGTCTGGGGCTCCTCCTGGCAATTTTCAGGCTCCCTGGGGCCGTCTTGGGGCTCTGTGGGTGCCTCTTCGGAGGTCTTGGGGCGGTCTTGGGGCTGTCGTCGGCCGTCTTGGAGCGTCGGAAGGTCGAACATGCGAGAAACCGAAAACATAGAAAACATTAGCCTGGCGAGGGACCCAACCATATGCAATTGTGGGTACCGCAAGTGTGAGCATCTTCTTCGGTGGAACTCCCTATGGGGCCACGAACCGTGTGAAGGGTGTGCCGAAATGGGTGGAAGTGACGCATGCAACCGCACCCACTGGGGCCTTCGGTGGAACTCCCCATGAAGCCACGTACCGTGTGAGGGGTGTGGCGTGATGGGCGGCGGTGGCGCATGCAACCGCACCCACTGGAGCCTCCGGTGGAGCTCCTTGTAAGGCCACGAACCGTGTGAATGGTGTGCCGTAATGGTTGGCGGTGACGCATGCAAAAGCGCCCACTGGGGCCTTCGGTGGAGGTCCCTATGGAGCCACGAACCGTGTGAAAGTGTGCCGTGATGGGCGGCGGTCGCGCATGCAACCGCACCCAGTGAGGCCTTCGGTGGAGCTCCTTGTAAGGCCACGAACCGTGTGAGGGGTGTGCCGTATGGTGGCGCGGCCGCATGCAACCGCACCCACTGGAGCCTTCGGTGGAGTTCCTTGTGGGGCCACGTACCGTGTGAGGGGTGTGCCGTAATGGGTGGCGGTGACGCATGCCAACGCACCCACTGAGGCCTTCGGCGGAGCTCCTTGTAAAGCCACGAACCGTGTGAAAAATGTGCCGTAATGGGCGGCGGTGGCGCATGCAACCGCACCCACTGGGGCCTTCGGTGGAGCTCCCTATGGGACCACGAATGTGTGAAAGGTGTGCCGTATGGTGGCGCGGCCGCATGCAACCGCACCCACTGGGGCCTTCGGTGGAGCTCCTCGTAGGGCCACGAACCTTGTGAGGGGTGTGCCGTAATGGGTGGCGGTGGCGCATGCAACCGCACCAAGTGGGTCCTTCGGTGGAGCTCCCTATGAAGAAACGAACCGTGTGAAGGGTGTGCCGTACTGGAGGATGGCGGTGACGCATGCAACCGCACCCACTGGGGCCTGCGGTGGAACTCCCTATGGGGCCACGAACCGTGTGAAAGGTGTGCCGTAATGGGTGGCGGTGACGCATGCAACCGCACCCACTGGGGCCTTCGGTGGAACTCCCTATAGGGCCACGAACCGTGTGAGAGGTGTGCCGTAATGGGTGGCGGTGACGCATGCAATCGCCCCACTGGGGCATTCGGTGGAGCTCCTTGTAGAGCCACGAGCCGTGTGAATGGTGTGCCGCAATGGGTGGCGGTGACGTATGCAACAACACCGACTGGGGCCTTCGGTGGAACTCCCCATGGGGTCACGAACCGTGTGAGGGG